CTATATATATATATATATATATATATATATATATATATATCTCGGATGAATGAGTAAAAAAAAACATTCGGCTCAATTAATTCATTTAAATTTATTAATTTAATTTTAAAAACCTGTTTTAAAATAATGACAAATATAACAATGATGATGGATTTGGGAGGAAAAAGTCAATCAACAAAATAACTTCGAGTGACCTCAATTGTGGGCCGACCGGTTGAACTTTGTCGACTTTGCCCAGCCCTGATTTTTTTGTTATTGTTTTTTTTTTTTTTTTTTTTTTATCCCACACGAGCAAGAGGACTGAAGATTTCCACCTTGTCACACTTTGTACTCGGACTCACTTTGCTTGCGATAGTGCCTTCATGTTTCCGTGACGGGAGCTTTGTTTGGGTTTTTCTTTGCTTTTGGTTCTCTGTGTCTGTGTTTGTTGCGTTGCGCATGTGGCACTCGCTTCCTGTGCACGGTGTTTTGTTCAAAAATAGACAACGTTGATTTTTTTTTTTGGGGGGGGGTGTTCTTTTCGTTTTTTTTTCCGTGTGCATCATTTTTGAAAGACACTGCACACTTCTTGCTGCTTCCTGGCCTCTCAACTACTCCAGTTTTGGATTTGTTTCTTGTCGAGATGGACATCAAACTAAAAAAAAAAAAAAAAAAAAATTCTTTTGTGGTCCCCCCCACAACCACCCACATTTCACACACACACACACACACACACACACACACACACACACACACACATACATACACCCTGTCGGTTTGGAGCATACTCTGTTCAAATTTGTGACCAATCGAGTACGATATTCTCTGAAGAACCCCTTCTCGTAAACCAGAACTCACATTCGTATCTCAAATCGTCTTTCCCCATTGACGTGAATTGAAATGCCATTTATCTGACATTATAGAACAAAATACAAATAGGTACACATGTTGAGAGAGGCGATGTCACAACTCCTTCGCGGTAATATTTGTCATTTTTTTGTGGAGGATAAAGAATATATGCCCACGATATTGTTGTATTATCTTTCTATGTGGGTTGCTCCACCATTGGTGTTGGAAGTATTTGTTGCTTAAAGAAGTACAACCCTGCCACAAAGATGCGATTCGTTTTTCGGTCTGTGGCATCTCCTGTTATGCATTAGCATTTGGCTAAGCTGAGTCATGTGGTTAGATTTATTTCAGATTTAGTTTGACAGTCAACTTCAACTGAGAGTGGCAGGAAACATCTTGTCACCTCTTTTTTTTTCACAATTGTATGTGCGAAAATGCAGATTGTCGTGAAGTGGGTGGAGAAGAGCCACTGCTCATATCACAGCTTTGGTATTGCATATCAAACCAAAAAAATTGCCAAACGACTGGTCTTATCTTGGAAAAAAAAATCTTCCAGTTGAAGTTTACTGGAAGACGAAACATCGAACAGAGATTTACAGCCATGTGGCGTAGCCTTTAAGTCCGCTAGCTGGATGCTAATGCTAGCACACCATGGCAAATGCCAAAGATGTGCTAATGAATAGCATCTCTGTGGCGGATATAACCCTTGAATCAATGGATGTTTGGGACAAAACTGGTGGGGCAACACATGAAGACAGACATCACAATACTCAAGGGCATGTATTATTTATCCTCTGTGATGAAAGACTAAGATTATCATGACTATTAGAACAACAATTGACCTGAAGCAAAAAGCGTGGCCAAGAACTGTGTGGCTGTTTTTCAGCTTGGTTTTCCCCCCCTCAAATTTGTTAAAAGCAACCGTTGTTCACAGACGTCAATATTTCATACACGACTTTTTGAATATTTGTGTAAATATGAATGTAGCCTCTTCCCCACCTTTGCATGTTCAAGTGTCGTGATCAGTGTTGCGTCACCGAAATTGTGCATTTGGCGAATGTATCAACTCAAATTTGCAGTTTTGGCATGTTTTTGGCTTTGTGTTGACAGTATGTTTTTTTGTGGGGGGGGTTGGGTATGTTTGGTGTCCCCTGCGCCTCGTCCCTTGTGCGCCCCTCTTTGCTGCATCCGTTCCCTTTTTTAAAGGTGAAGCCTTATTTGTCGAATGCACTAAACCGAAGGATGCCACGCCAATCCCCGCCCTACCTCTGCCCGCATCACATGATCGCCAAGCCACGCCCCCTCCCATTTCGTGACTGCGCGAATTCTCCAGATGGACCCTGACGCGGCACCACGTGACACTCCGCCCGTGTACCTTAATCACCTCCCAACTCAGCCAAAGGCAGTCACAGCTCAGCCAAAACGACGACAAATTCAGGCACCGCCGAGCCTGAGATGCTGGATTGTGAAAATGCTGCGTGTGTGTGTGTGTGTGCGTGCGTGTTTACTTCTATATAAGCGTGTGTTAAGTGTGAAGCATGCACAAGACTGTCCATGTCGTACTGCATGCAGTGGTGACACAAAAAAACAAAACAAAAAAAATATGACACATTCACACCAGCCAATGATCTCCACACATTTGAGAATTTCGTAGGAAATTTGACCCCAAAAAAACATGCGAATTTGGCAAATCAAAAAAGTAAACCACAAAAGGGTTAAATATTTTTGAGTGGATGAAATGTTAAATTATCCATTGACAAACTGTCAAAAAACCAACCAAATGCCTACCCCCCTAAAAAAAAATCACACAAAATTTTGTATTTGGTGACAACTTAAATACTAAGTTAGTGAACAGTACCAAAAAAAAAAAAAACACACACAAAATTTTGTATTTGGCGACAACTTAAATACTAAATTAGTGAACAGTACCAAAAAAAAAAAAAAAAAAACGCTAATTTAGGAACTCACAAACCGCTAGCGGTGACAGGAAGTTCACTTCGATCGAAACGTGGGGAAAAAAAAATCTCTCAGTCCTGATTGAAAGAATCGTCCAAAAAAGTGAACCGCTGACTCCAGAATTCAGAAAAAAAAATGTCTGACTAACATGGCTCCGTTTCCCACATCGGCCGCGTTGGCGCTAGCAACGTTCAGTTCCATTTGGAGCGATTCCAAGTGGCCAAGATGACTTCATCTCAGAATTTTGAAATTTCCGAAAAACAACACAAAGAGCACTTAGCAAGTATTTTTCTACAGCGACTTCCTGTGAAAAGAAAACAAAATTTAGCTAGTTGAGAAGCGGGAAGACGTGCAGAGAATATTTTAATACTATTTAACAACACAATACAGTATTGATATGTTTTCCCCTCCCCCTCCCCTCCTCCGTGTTCTTTCTCCGCGCGTACGTTTGTCGTCGTCTCTGGAATACGGAATTAACTGAATAGATAAGATGTGTTCTTTTCCTGTGTTTTGTTGTTTTGGTACGATGTCAGATGTGTGTGTGTGTGTGTGTTTATGTTTTAATTACCGGTATAATTATTATGATTATGGATTTCTTCCATGTGTACGTGTGTGAGTTGTTAACTTGCTCTGGGGTGCTTTTATTTTCATTTTTTTCTCTTTCTGCCGACTTGTGCTGTTGTTGTTTTCATGCAACAAGGAAAGATATTTATTGCAAATATAAAAGAACCCCCCCCCCCCCCACCCCCAAATTCTCACATGGTCTTTGCACTTTCATTGACATGTTCTACTCAGGTTGTGTTTCAATGTAGGGTTTTAAACGCGAGATAGGGTCTTCGAGTAGGGTTGAAAAACACGGGTTATGATTTCAAATTAGGGTTTTATAACTTGGATTAGGGTCTCAAATAAGTTTTTTTTTTCAGGTAATGTGACCTTTCAAAGTAGGGTATTAAATTAAGGGTAGGATTTCAAAGTAGGGTCGTAAACATGGGTTAGAGTTTTCAAGAAGAGCTTTAAGGGAGGGTTAGGGTTTCAAATTAGGGTTTTAAACTGGGCCGCAGAAGAAAATAATGTTTCAAAGGAAGGTTTTAAAATAGCGTTAGCGTTTGTGTTTTAAATTAGGGTTTTAAACTGGGGTTAGGGTTTGAAAGTAGGGTTTGTGTTTCCAATTAGGGTTTTAAATTAGGGTCGGGGTTTCAAAGTATGGTTTTAAAGTTGGGTTAGGGTTTCTAATTAAGGTCATAAAAGGAGATAATATTTCAAATGAAACAATTTCGAAATTGCGTTCAGGTTTCAAATGTTTTTTTTTAACCAAGGTTACGTTGCATTGTCGTGTTTTGAACAAGGCTTAAGATTTCAGAGTCGGGTTTGTGCATCCAAGTAAGGTTTTGAACTTGGCTTAGGCTTTTAAGCTTGTAAATCCACAACATGGACCTATCTCGCACTGCGTGGGTGCTTCCCTTATCCAAGCCAAGGTCTCTGACTAAGGTTTACAGACATCGCCGGTGTCCTCACAAAACAGACAAAAAGTCGGTAAGAGTTCGTCAAATACTTTATTATCGGAAATCCAAACAAGAGAGCATACAAACAATAAATAACCACAAAGAAAAACTTAGGGGGGAGACCGACTGTGTGTCTGTGTGAGCAAAATGTAAAAGTGTGCCTTGGACAAAACAATCTGTCCGTCTCGGCGCGTGTTTTTTGACGCTTTCAACATTTACGCACTTTCTTGTTGGAAAACGCCAAGCAAGAAGGTGATGAATAAAAACAAATCACAGGTGATTTCACCTTTGACCTCATCAGACGTGGACGCTCTTGGTGTGCTTCGAGGAGGCCGACGCGGCAGCGGGGGCGGCGGCGCTCGGCGCGCTCTCCGCCGCCGTCTTGGAAAAGTAGACTCTGCCGTTGTCCTGGTACGGGCGGGACGCCGGCGTTGGCGAGGAGCAGCAGGTCAGGATGACGCCGGCCAAAAGGCACAAGACCGCGCCCACCCAGCCGGCGTACAGCGCAAAGCCGAAGGACATCACCTGCTCGTTCAGGTTCTCGCTGATGAAGAACCACACCGTCGAAAGCAGCCCGCAGAAGCCTGGGCAGGAACAAACATAGTGAAATGACGCCACAAAAGCTGAGTGTTGCTCTTTTCATTTCGAGTCCATTGTTGCGGTGCCCCCAACATTCGTGGCGGGATGTCATCATGGAGCGTCGGTGGCTTATTTTGGAAAGTTGAATTTTTTATTTTTTTGGGGGGGCTTGAACTTCATATGAGGGTCCCAAAAGCGCTTACCGGCGGCGAGCAGGAGGACTCCGCCAGCGGCGGCGCTCTTGTTCTTGGAAGTCTGGGCGCCGCTACCCAGGCGGATGCAGGGCAGCGACACGGCAACCATCACCGCGGCAACCAAGCCCACGATGGAAGCTGTGACCATCAGGGCACGGGTCACGTGGGCGTAAACTGCGCAACGGAAAGGAGAGTCAGTCTCAACGCCATCGGAATGAAAATGTGATATTTCGTCAAATGGAGTGTGTTCAATTCAATACAGGTATCAAAGAAATAAAACGATTATAAATAAACCCGTAAAGTTCACTTCAGCACCAATGTGTCGATTTAAAAAAAAATGCACTACACGTTCAAAAATATGTTGTTTTGAACTCGGGGGCATGAGACAATTATTTATTTTAAAAATACGGTTTAAAACATGCTGTCAAAGTATACATGAACAAAGATATCATCCAAAATAATAAATATACATCAAATCTAAAAAAAGTACCAAATAAAAACCACTAATATGGCCAAAGAAAAGATAGTTAAAAAAATAGTAACATCAGGCTGATTTTTGGATGAATTTGACTCCTTATTTTGGGAGGTTTTATACAATGCCACTTGATCATGTGTTAAGAGTGTGAAAATATGATTATGGTAAGTGCAAAACATGTCACCGGAATGATGGGAAAAAAAAAGACACCACATAAAATATAAATAAAACCAAAATACATGTGATGAAAACGATAAAATATGTGAAACGAACAAAATGGGAAAACATAAAATGATAATCTGTAATGTAAAATTGAAGAGTTACATCAAAAAATATGATGATGAATCAATTCTTAAAGACACAGTTTCCCCCATGATAAGACAAATTAAGAATGCAAAAAAAACCCCCAAAACACGAACATTTAAAAGCAGAATATTGATGATTTAAAAAAATAATACAAATATATTTTTAAATCGTCAAACATGAAAATGTAAATTCATACCGGGCAGGTCGAAAATCTGGAAGGGTAAGCAAGTCTGCATTCCGTTGGAGACGCTGGAGGAACATTCGGCCCAGGGGCCTCTGGTCCTCACGATGTCAAACATCCTGCAGGTGGCCAGTTGACTGTGCCTGCACAGGACGAGCCAGTCGTTGCTGGCGGTGGCCAGCAAGATGCCCAACCAGCCCAGGAGGCCCAGCGCAAAACCGCACAGCAGCCCGCAAAACTTGGCCATGACGTCCAAAAAGGGAAATCGGAGGAGGCGGAAATCCACGAGCCGGCTGGCCGAATCCCAAATGTGCTCCTGTCTTGTGATGGTGATGAGTGAAGCCTCTCAGAAACGGAGTTGGCTTTGTAGAGCAGAGAAATTCAGTCAGTGGGAAGGAGGGGTGGGAGGGGGGGGGGCAAACTCCAAACTTTTCAATCAATCAGAAAGTCATCCGTCATCACTTGCACCGCCTCCTTTTGCGAGTCTCACCCGAGATGATTTTCAGTGTTTCACTTTGAAACTAGACTGCCTCCTGCTGGTCAACACGCAAAGAACATTGGCACCGTCATTTGGACTCGTTTGAGAACCGACGTTGAGACTTGTGATGGGATTTTCGGCTCTTTTCGGTGATCCGGTTCATTTGGATCGGCTCAATGAAAAGAGATGGCTCTTTTTGGCTCTAAAACGGCTCTCTTAACTTTAGCTTTTCTTTTAAATATTTATGACATATTTAGCATGCGTTTTGATAAATGACCATGTTTAGGAAGGCGTTTTTCGCCGAAAAAAAGGACCACGAATAGAAAGGTGTTTTTAGCCGAAAAAAAAACGACCATTTAAAGGAAGGTGTTTTTAGCCGAAAAAAACGACCATGTATAGTAAGGCGTTTTTAGCCGAAAAAAACGACCATGTACAGTCAGGCGTTTTGAGCCGAAAAAAACGACCATGTATAGAAAGGCGTTTTTGGACAAATAGCCAAAAAAAACGACCATGTATAGTAAGGCGTTTTAACCCGAAAAAAACGACCATGTATAGTAAGGCGTTTTTAGCCGAAAAAAAGGACCATGAATAGAAAGGCGTTTTTAGCCGAAAAAAAGATCATGTACAGAAAGGCGTTTTTTGACAAAAAAAACGACCATGTATAGTAAGGCGTTTTTAGCCGAAAAAAACAACCATGTATAGGAAGGCGTTTTTAGCCGAAAAAAACAACCATGTATAGGAAGGCGTTTTTAGTACGAAAAAACAACCATGTATAGGAAGGCGTTTTTAGCCGAAAAAAACAACCATGTATAGGAAGGCGTTTTTAGCCGAAAAAAACAACCATGTATAGGAAGGCGTTTTTAGTTGAAAAAAACGACCATGTACAGTCAGGCGTTTTCAGCCGAAAAAAACGACCATGTACAGTAAGGCGTTTTTAGCCGAAAAAAAGGACCATGTATAGTAAGGCGTTTTTAGCCGAAA